TGTGAAAGCTTTACGTTTTCAACTTTCAAATATTTTAAATGCTTTAGAAGAGGTTTCCGAGACAGCTAATGATTTGATGGCCTGAAGTGAGGCTGTTTCAATATCAAATGAAATCGATAATTATGAATTTATATTAAGTTTTGTAATTTTTAAATAATTGTATGATACTACTACTTCTTAAAACATGCTCTGCTTTAACCTCTACAACCCTTTTAATTTAATAGTATAATAAAATATTCATATTTTATTTGTATAAATATGTTATAAATATTTATCGTATCATCGAACCTAATATTAATTTAAGTTATTTGAATAAGATGAAATATTAGTAGACCTAAATTACCTAAATTAGGTATAAATATTTTTATTGCGAAGGTTTCAAGTAGTACAAAAAATAACAAATTATTACAACAAATAACAAACAAGTTTTAAAAAGATCATTAGAAACAATCAGTGAAAAATAAAATCCAGAAGAGCTAAGAATATAATAATATAACATATTCCAAAATTGCAAATTAACAGTGTACCTACCTACAAACCACATAAAATTTAAAAAAAAAGGAAATATCTGTTTCCTGGCGCACGTTTAATTTCTTAAAACGACGGACCGTTTTTGGTCAAGCCTTAAAAGGACGTCACACCGCCCGTAATTTGATTAGAAAAAGTGTTTTGCGCGGGACAACTTTGCTCGCACAATATTGGTTGTAAAACTACCAAATTTTCACAACACGTAAAGAAGAACTTTATCTGTGCAACAGCGTCCCCTTTTTTTTAATAGCACTATCCAATCATTTTTTATAAGTAAATGAAAAAAACAAAAAACCGAAATGTTTTGAAGGAAATAACTTTTATCATATTATAGGTATCTGAACTATTGGCACGCTGTTGCATAGATAATTTTCTACACTATATGTTCAGAAATTTTGGAGCCACTACTACAAACACAGAGCGATAAAAGTTATCCCGCGCAAAACGGTTTTACTACAAAAAAATTAATTACTTCGCTCGAAGTGTGCTGCGCTCAATATGCATGCGGCAGAGCTCGGCACCACAACGTTTGTATCCCCACTCCAATTTTCGTCGGTGGCGTGCGAGTTTTGACGGCCAGCATATTCACGACCTATAGCGGCGATGACGCCGATTTTGCGATGACCAAAATAGAACTACTAATGATATCTTCGAAAAACATTATTTGTACAGACGCAAACTAATACAATCTAATAATTCTACAAAAACTTAAGCAGGGAGAGGTCTGGCGTCTGGAATATTATAATAATTTATAATAATATACGAGTAATATTTCATATTATTATTATTTATTATGCTATCGACAACTGAGTAGGTAGGTACAGTACTACAGTCTATTACTGATACATTTTCATTCCCATCACAAAATGTCGCCTAAAAAGTTCCGTACCATCGTAAAAAAGCGTGCCCGAGTAGGTAACACATGTATTAAAAAAAGAATGAAGAACATTCGTAATAAGCCGTAAGTATCAGTATTTGCCATTTATAATTTATAGGTATATGGTTTATATTTTATTTGTTCAATCTTGAATAAAAATAATAAAATAAAAAATGTATCTTATTATTCTTATTTATTATAGTTGAATAATCTGTTGTTGATGCTGTACTAAAAAAAACTAAAATAATTATTTATATTTATTTACATTAATGAGTAAATAAATAGTAAAATACTAATTATAACTATTGATTATAAAATATAAAGGTCATGTAGGCATTTTACAAAATGTGTAATTTATACAATTAAAAAAAAAATAATTCACAGAAAATCGATTTCGACTTATTTGCGCCGCAACCGCTCCCTCGTTGAGGTCGGCGTCTGCGACTTGCACCTAAATGGATAGGACGGGTACACAATACTTACGAACGAATTATATATTAAATAACAACGAACTTAACAGAGAAATATATATTAACATAAAAATATTAGAAAGTAAATAATAATATAATAACAATGTCACTGGGGTGATCAGCCAACAGTAGACATAAACAAATATATATATATATCAAAATAATACTTATAAGATATTAAAGAAAGGAAACAACTAATAGAACCGGCAAACTGCTCGTTCATAAACAACATATGATAATAATAATAGACAGCAAAGGGGAATGCGTCGAAACACGTGGACCGCTGAGCTGCCGGAACCTCCACGTAATGGCCTATGGTGGCGAATGTCCGATTATAGAATTGGACGAGCTGATGCTGAACTAGCTAACGAATATCTTCTTATGGTAACGGTTGCAACTAATACTGCGAATAACTGGTAGAAAATGTTGTTATTTTGTGATACATACAATGCAATGGACCAATATTCAAAACATTTATTACGATTGTGAATTTTGGAACACTAAAATGGTTGAAGAATTAAAAATGTATGATAAATTCATAAATTTTACAATAGTTATTTATACTATTTAATATTTGTATGTGTTACAATTTTTACAGGTTTTACTTAGAATGTTTGCTTGCGGAAATAGTTGATCCGCTTTACGGAAAGAGAATGCAAATTGAAGACATCAGAGAACCAGCTCATATAACAGAGGCAAAAAATTTGCAAAACCAAAAAATTGCAGCAAAACGACAAGCAGTTTAATGATGTTTTAATGTTTATGATATTTATTTTTACATTCAAAGTATAATAAAATATAGATTTACTAGTCTTATTATTAATGCATACAATAAATGTATATTTCTTATAAAATTAATATTATTTATATACGTAGTAAAAAAAAGAAAAAGATGATTTTTTTATTATTTTAAGGTAATAATGATTTTTTTCGAAATTTTAGGGTCATTTCTCCTTCCCATTTTGGTCTTAACTAGGTTCGCATTACTATATTTAGTTTGTGCACGGCATGGGAAACAGCTCTAAACACGCTTATAGTCGTATAGTTAGTAATTCATTTGCGCGAACGTATGGATAATTATTGTAATTATTACAGTTGCAAATTATTTACCTATAGGCAGGGCCGACGAGAGGGTGGGGCAGGAGGCCGGAGGCCAAAGCCCCTGGGCCCAGACCTCCTGAGGGCCCATAGTACAACATTTTTTTTATATTCATTCAACATAAGTCAATCAGCCCCAAGGCCCGCAAAATTTCTCGCCGGCTCTGTTTAAAGGTACCTATTATATTTTAATGAGTTATTACTCATTAAAATAATTCAATAAATACAAGTCAAGCTATGTTAAAATGCAGTTTCTTCGATCTCTATATTGGTACATATATTTAGGTGAGCAGTGGCTTAAAATGAATAGTTCATAGGTAGCGCGGGTGTTAAAATATTACGGCCGCATTTACGTGTATGAATTTTATTATGACCCGAAACGTCTTTAACGAGCGATCATAGAATAATAATGCGCCGCTCCCGAAACTACGCCGCGCGGATCCAGTCACGAATATAATGGGCGTGGTTACGGCCTGCCAAGACGACGGCATATGGCGAACAACACCATCTCTGGAGCGTTGTATACATTTCACTTTGAGTGTGGCGTCCTCTTAATATTCAAAAATGCAGAAGAAATTGCAAATTAGAATTGGTCTAGAGTTACAAATCAGACAAACACATCGAGATAATTATTCTAATAACTTAAAAAAAATGACTTTTTTAGACGATCTTTATTTATTCCCTATTTAATTTCTATAATAATGTCAATTAGTGATAGATTCTCTGATGAAAATTTAAAATCATTTTCATTATTTTATTTACATCCAAAAAATATGATAAAAATGAATATTGAAGAGCTTAGTAAAGTAATTAAATCTATCAATCACGTGTATGGACCTCTTCTTGATAATTTTGAAGAAAAAGCATTAACTTGATATGAAATATGGCTAAAAAAACCATGTGATTCAAATACACAAATAATTGATTTACTAGAAGAATCTAAATATTATCCTGCTGTAAACACAGCTTTACAAATTGCCATTACATTATCAGCAACTTCCTGTTCAGTTGAAAGAACTTTTAAGTACCTACCTAATATATTATAAATCTTTTGAATTAATTATTTAATTTTGATTATAATTATTATCTGTTTTAGTGCTTTGCGTTGTATCAAAACTTGTGTAAGATCTACAATGTGCAATATGAGGTTAAGCAATTTGGCTTTAATTCACATTCACAAAAATAGAATTGACAATTCAATATTTTTTGAAAAACAAAAAAACAACGTCATAAATCATTTTGGATTAAATGTCAGACGTTTATCATTATTATTTGATCCATAATTCTTACAATATTATTAATAATACCTACATTTAAAATTATATTATACAATTTTTTGCATTACATTCTTCTTCTTCTTCTTCTTCTTCTTCTTCAGCTTAGTGGTCCATTCAGGACCATCGCTGCCATCAAAATCTCTCTCCACCTCTCACTCTGCTATGCTGTTTCTAAAGTTGCGTCCTGGTCTATCATTTCTATATCTTTGGCAACTACGTCAATCCATCGGGTTTTGGGTCGTCCTAGGGGTCTCGTTTTATCTATTTTATTGATAAGTACTTTTTTAATTAACTGTCCATCTGCCATACATGCATGTCCGAACCATTCTAGTCGTTTTTTCCTAATAAAGTAGAGTATGTCTGGCTTATTATAAAGATACTTTATATTTTCGTTGCTTCTCCTTTCATATACCTGTGTTTCTGAGTTGAAGATTGGTCCATAAATGGTTCGTAACACTTTTCTTTCGAACGTGATAAGTCTTCTGCTATCACCTTTAGTCAACGACCAGGTTTCACAGGCGTATGTTATCACAGGTCGAAGGTAGCTATGATTATGATATAGTAGTATCTTTGATCCTCTCGATAACAGTTTATACCTCAGGAGTTTGATAATACTGAAATAACATCTATTTCCACTAGTGATCCGTTCATATATTTCTATATGCATATCATTTTTGTTGTTGATGTTTACGCCTAAATACTCAAAATTATCAACTTTTTCAAATTTGTAATTATCCACTACTATGGAATCTATATTGGTGGTCTTCTCGATACGACTTTGTACTTAGTTTCCCCATCGTTTACATGTAATCCCATTACTTTACTTGCATTTATGAGTTTATATGTTGAGTTGATGATTTCCTCTTTGGTTTCACCCATCAGCACAATGTCGTCTGCATAAGCTAACATAACTTGTTCATTGCCTATCTCTATCCTTTTGTCATCGTTAGAGTCTCTAATTATTTTTTCGAGGGCTAAGTTAAATAGTGCAGGTGACAACGCGTCCCCTTATTTAAGGCCAGATTTAACTGCAAAAGGATCTGAGATGCCTTGTAAATAACACACTTTGCATAGTGTTTTTTCATAACATGCTTTTATTATTTTCACATACTTTTTGGGTATTCCTAAAATTATCAATGTTTTCCAAAGCTCTTCTCTGTCTACACTATCATACGCCTGCTTGTAATCCACAAAGACTAGATGCAGGTCCTTTCCAAATTCGTAGTATTTTGACATTATCTGTCTTAACGCGAAAACATGGTCTGTTGTGGATTTTCCTCTCCTAAACCCGCATTGGTAATTTCCAACTATTTTTTCAATATATGGGTTTAACCTTTCTAATATCAGTGTTGTCAGAATTTTATAGCATGAGTCTAGTAGCGAAATTCCTCTATAGTTCTCAGTTTTAGTCGGGTTGCCTTTTATAAATATTGGGCATATAATTGCAGCTTTCCATTCTTCTGGGATTGTCTCAGTTTTCCATATTGTCTTAATAATTTCTGTGATTTTGCTCACCAACATTGTACCACCTTTTTTAAGTAATTTCGCTACTATGCTGTCTTCTTCTGGGGCTTTGTTGTTTTTAAGTCTCTTAATCAAATTCTCAATTTCTTCATATTTGGGACCCTCTATATCTATTTCAGCTGCTAGGAAGTCTTCGCTTGGATTTAAACCCTGCCCTACTGAGGGTCGGTTCAGGAGGTCTTAAAAATGTTCCTTGAATTGGTTAATTACTTATCTTTCTTCAGTGATCATAGTTCCCGTACCGTCCACTAAGATCCTTGTTTGTGGTTTAAAGTCAAATTTTACTTCCCCGGTCATTTTGAAAAAATTTTTTGCGTTGTATCTATTGGTTTCTATTTCTTCTATTTTCTTCTTTTTGTTTAGACGTTTTTCTCTCCTTAACACTTTATTTGTCAATTTTCTTTGTTCTTCATATTCTCTTGAGCACTCGTCTGATGTATTTTGTAGTGCTTTTTTCCTCAATTCGTTTCTTCTGATGATTGCATTCTTACATAAATCGTTGAACCAGTTTTAATTCTTTTCTTTTGGTTTAATTTCTAGAATCTCCGTTGCACTATTAACCACCGCTCCCTTTGTTCTGTTCCAAATCGTATCAATTTCTGAACTATGGTTTCTTGATTTATATTATTATTTTGTAATTCATGTGTAATTCTCTCAATATAATTATGATTTATTTCAATATCATTTAATTTTTGAATGTCGTAATTTATTGTAGGTTTCCTTTTTTCCGAGTTCCATTTTGTTGCCAGTCTCAGGTTAAATTTCGCATACACTAGGTAGTGATCTTATTCTGCATCAGCTCTTCTATACGTTCTCACATTCCTTATGCATCCCTTAAATCTCCTGTAAGTATGTGGTCAATTTGATTAAATGTTCTTCCATCAGGAGATTTCCAAGTGACTTTGTGTATATTTTTTCTGGGGAAATATGTGCAGCTTATTATACAGTTTTTTGAAAGTACAAAATTTATCAGTCTGGTCCCATTTCCGTTACTGGTTTCGTGTAAACTGTTAGGTCCTATGATCGGTCTATATATATGTTCCCTTCCAACCTTCGCGTTCATATCACCTACTACTATCTTTATATAGTGCAACGGTAAAGTGTCATATACCCTTTTTAGTTCTTCATAGAATTTGTCCTTTATGTCTTCATCTTTTTCCTCTGTTGGGGCATAACAGTTTATGATAGTTAGGTTAAATATCTTTCCCGCTATACGGTCTTAACATTTGGTAGTGTCTTGTCGTGTACTATAAAACCTATTCCATTTTCATGTCGTCCACTAGTAGTGCCACTGTAGAATATTGTTATATTGTCTTTCTTTAGGTTTCCACTATTTGGCATTATATTTAGAGTTATTATTATTAGGTGGCTATAATAATGTAAATATGCTACTATGTACCTATTTATATAAAACATACATTTAATTTTGCACCCACTGAGCTGATTTTGTGCGGGCGACCCTGGTTACAAGTATTTAAAAAAAATGAATAATTTAATCACCTTATAGCTAGTTTCAAAATAATTAAGATGTAAAAAAACTTCATAGAACCATATTATTTTATAGTTCATGTTTTCACATGTATATACATGTATGTACATTTGATTACAGATAAATATTCACGTTTATATATTTTATCTAATAAAGATGCAATACACCAAATATAAAAGTACAGTATACAAGTACATAAGCATTAAGCACGTAAATTTATTACGCGACTTAGAGGTAAGCACAGCGGTAAAATAAACATACTAATACGGTCGTTGTCTTTAAATGATAATTTTATTTCATATAATATTTTTGTACGCCATTATGAGCTAGAACTATAAAAAAGGATTTGTCAATGCCAAAGCAGATAGAGCAAAAATGCAAAAGTTAATTGAAAATATAAAAAATGTATTGATAATTAAATTCACCTACAAATATTACAAAATTATGTATTAATGTTTTTTTACGTATTGAAAATATATCACATTTTACAGTGTGTCAGATCTCGTATATTATTAAAGTATTACCGTAGTCGTGAAAACACTGATACAAAAATATATGTCACAACCAAATATTCATAATTTTGTAAATGTTTTATTGGGGGTTCAATCCGAATTATATATTAAAATGACAATCATAGGAACGATAAAAGGAAGAAAACGAACTTTGATTCGGAAAAAATATATTTAGTAAAATGTAAACAAATATTTAATACGAAGCAGCTAGATAAAATGTGGCCCAATTATCGATCACCCGTCAAATCGACCGTCTGTAATCCATGTCACCACCCATTTCAGTAATGGATACATACTGCATAGGTTTTATCATTGTTTATTTATTTAAAAAGGTTGCATCCAAAAACCGCACACTTTTGATTTTGACCCGAAAAAGGTCGATAGACAAAAACCGCACACTATTTTTTAGTGCTAACTAACGGATAAGATAAGATTATAAGATATACTGCAATAATCATGGTAACACGTTTTAAGCTTTAGTCACCGCTCGCTATTATTTTATTAGTAGGTCTTGTATCTTGTGTATTCAGTATACATATATAGTACCATAATGGAGTGCAAATTATTATCCGTCCAATTGAAAAACAAAAACAAGTTAGTAAATACGTAAAAGTGATATTTTCGATTTTTAATTAAATTTTATTTATTTTAGGGGCACTTATTTAAATGGTGGGAAGAATATTTAATAGACTGAGATCGTTTGAAGTTTTTAAACAATGTTGGTAATAGACTTCAGCCAATCAAACTTTAAACATTATACACACTCTTTAAACTTTTAAATACTTGTATATGCATATTTTTGTTTGAATACATTTTTATATTTTTTATATTTTAGAATAACCGTGTATGCAAATTTTTGTTGGAATACATTTTTACATTATTTAAATTTGAATAATTCTGTATACATTTTTTTTTTTTTTGAATAAATTATAAATTATTATTTATTAAGTATATCTAATCTAGATAAAAATAAGGTTTTTGGAGTTGAAATTAAAAGTTTGCGGTTTTTGGATACAACAATATTAAAAATTGTGCGGTTTTGTTTTGTACTTTATCGAAAGTGTGCGGTTTTAGGATTCAACGTTTAATAACTAAGCGGCTAAGCTTAGTAAATAGTGTACAGTGTACAGTACACAGTTTTTGCTATTACAGAATACACAGCTTAACAATTTGCAAAGGTATTTCTGTGTCTATGATTTTATATTTACACATTTATAAATTATAATAATGAGTGCTAAGACGTTAAACGTATGAGAAAACGTGGTTAGGAGAGTGATTAGAATATAGTAATAGATCTAACGACGATATATTATTATTTATTTACTGTTATATACCCCCGTCGTAATTTTATCCTATTATTTATTTTTGAAAATTTGATATGTACTCGTATTATGTATTTTGTAATCAGCCATTTTTGACTTGTATCTATTTACAAATTCTCTATCATTTGTTAAAGGGTTCACACCCTTAACAACTATATAAGATCAAATGAAGCCAAAGTGAGTGAATGATTACTAATTTTAAATAATATTTTATAATATAATATTTTTTTTAATGTACATTGCAATAATTTTATATTTACAAAAAAATAAAAAGTGATTAATTATTCTTAAAATTTTGCCCCTACTAGTAGTGTAATTGCAGAGTGATATGGTAAGAATAGATTCCCCCCCCCCCCCATACACTGTAATTATTTATTTGTATTTCTTTGCGTCTTATTATAATTAAAAAGTGTATATTATCACGAACTAAAAATAAAACGATAATAACTTCATTAGTAAGTTTTCAATATAGGTAAATGATTTTTTAGATAATAATATATTTCCTACTTTTTTATAGCGATTATCTATGGTAAATTATTATGTAACATAAATAAAATGAAATATTATGTTAAAATGTGATGAATGATGAGTAGGGTCCGGATTTCAATGCAAAATGCATCTTTTTTTGGTTAATCTTATACAATGCTTTCCAAGTTTTTTATTTGATTCATGTAACGGAGGCTTCAAAGGTGAAAGTTTTTGCTTATTTTGCACATTTAAATATGTTTTTGTTTTTAAAACATTTTTTAGTATTTTTCGGTCATTTTTTCTTTTTTAACGTATATTTATACAATATACGAGTATAATATATAGTATTCTGTATTCATACCTTTTAAGACCATAGATATGCTTATAATATAAAATCTATGATACGATTTATTTTTCTTACTATTTATAAATCGTTCTGTACATACAATATTGGCTATCTTATCTTCATTTATTAACGCCCAATCCATCGCTGCTAGTTGTTATAAGTCAAATTTTCCGAATATCAGTTTTTTTTTTTTATAAAAAGTTAAAATGTTATGAATTACCAATAAAATAATAATTAAATAAGAGTGTAAAAATTATTTTTTAATGGCATTTTTAGCTTTTTTTAGAGCATTTTTCAATAATTTTTAATGCATTAAAATCTGGGCCCTAGAGATAAGTTATCAATTTATTATAAAGGGTGTTGTGATTGACAAAACCCCCACAGATCTGTCTTGAAGTATTTTTTGATACCCCCCTCTATGACATTTTGAATTACGCCACTGGCCTCCACCACCAGTATTTTCTATAAACAACCAGCTGTGGGAACAGTGTACTTGGTTGCTTGTACAAATGCCATTGGCGTATTTGGCAGGTACACCAGTTGTGGGAATGCGACTTTAATCTACACTTCCCACCAATCATAGTTTTTTTTCGAACAGCTATGTTAATATATCGTCATAATAATTAATAGGTTAAGTCAATATTAGATCATTTGTGAATTTTATAAAACTGTACTAAAACAAAATCATTGTAATTAAATAAAACAATAAAAAGGAAATAATGGGTATTTACTTAACGTTTTTCTAATTTTGTTAAAAAATAAAAATATTAGGAAATTGTTATCTGATGAAATAAATAAATAATGAAACAACACATTAAGAAAACTAATCTGAATTGGAGTGATATTTGAAATATAATCTATAATTATAGCTATAATAGTATAATGTATCACTTAGACAAAAAAAAACTGTCTTCAAAACTCTATTTGACCTGTGGAACAATTGTGTTGGTAGTACATAATCATTAATACGCGTACTCCTCAATCATTATCTACTTCAGGCTCATAAATTGTCATACAAAGCTGAGAGAAGTAACTAAATAAGTTTAAATTAACATATTTAACAAAAAAAAAAAAAATTCACCAAATAATAAAACGCAACTTTTATGTTATTTTATTAATATATATTTGATGTTACAAGAGTCAAATTCAAAACTTAATTTGACAAAAACAGCTAGAACATACTTTGTTATGTGAAACTTTTAAAAATGTTCTTTTATTTTCTGAGTTGTGCGGTTGCTCCCCAATTAAGCATAGAATATAACGTGATAACGTTATTGTAAGAAATCTACGTATTGATAAATATGTTCTTATACATTTATTGATTTCCTAAAAATGCAAAACTACAAATTCTGTATATTGTTAAGTATAACAATTCACAGATTATATTTACCTGATGATTGGGTATGCCACTATTATACTCTTGATTACATTGAATGAAATTAATATTATCATAGTTATGAGAGTAATCAAGTCAACCTTATTATTATTATTTTATGTTTATTAATTTAAAATGTGTATATATTATGTTACGGGTTGAGTATAAAAATTAGGTAGTGCCTGTGTCTATTGAACAAAATATTTATTTTTTGCATTAACCGTGTATTTCCTACTGCAGAACGATTCAAATATATTGATAAAATAAAAAAACGATTCAATATCATTAAAAACAACAAACGCTTTGATTCTTAAACCCTTTAAATATTTAAACTAATCGGTATAATATAAGTACACTTAAAATTAAATTAAGCGACAAACATTACAATTAATATATTTAAAATTATTTTTTATAGTTCAAAATGTCAGTCTTTAATTTTTTTAATAAGCCGTTCAAAAATATCTTCAGGAGTTAAAAGTTCTTTCTCCGTGGATAATTAACATGGCTATACCCCATTGAGTCTATTAAATTTCATCAGTTAGTTTTAAATCTTTTAATAAATAAAAAACAAGTATTTGTTGTCACAGTAAAAAAACATACAATGTTTAACAACTTGTATATATTTGGTAATAAGCCTTCATCACAAAATTTAAGAAATTCAATAGTTAATTTTGTTGGTTTTACTTCTTTTCTAATTCTATTTGAAACAATTTTCCACATTTTAAGTACCATTACTTCTGTGTAAAAGTCACTTTAGTCATATGTTTTTTGATTGAAATTTCATTCCTATTTTTGCTCAATCATTATCAAATAATACTTATTGAAACTC